GGGTCCTGATGACATCACATCCTCCCCAGGGAGTGACAGAACCACCCAAGCCAAATGACAAAGATCTCCTCAGCTGTGCTGCACCAGCCCCAAGCACAGACAGCCCAGGAGAAGATGGACACGGCTCCTGCCCTGCTCCTGCTGCTCACTCTGGGATGCTGTGAGTACGGACACGGGGTTGTGCAGCCCCTTCACCGGGAGGGGCAAGGAAAAACCTTCCACTGAATCCAAGGCATAGGACTAACTAGTTAAAGGGAAGGCAAATATCAAACCAAAACTGCTGACTTTGAGGTGGGCTCAGTAATTATGGGAGGAGAGGCAGGATCACCTCAGGCAGCAAAGGACAGCCAGAGGGGTGGCGGCACAGGGAAGAGAGATTGAACTGATGAGTGCTTCTAGAGGGGAGGGAGAAGAGTGGAAAAAAAGAGATTTAAAAGTTAGTGTTCATAGGGAGCTTATACAGCTTATTACTTCAGAGAAGCTGGGAAGATGTAATGTCCCTGAGAAGGTTCTGGAAGAGCAGCACCCATCTTTCAAGCCCAGGTGGCCGATTGCTGAGCACCCTCCATGCACCATCCCAGCAAGGACTCCAAGGAAACCTTCACATCAGCCAGACAGTGAGGTCTTTCCCTTTCCCACTTGTACTTCCAGCCCATGGACAAGGAGGGAGGGAGGTTTCCTCAGAGAAGCCTTTCTTTGTCTCTTCCCAAGCGGTTCCAGCAAGGATTTCTCTCCTGCAGGCTGCCCTGGGATTTATGGCCAACCACTTCACGTAAGGGTCAGTTCTCCCAAGGACATCACTCGGCTGCAGGTGGGACAGAGGCTGGAGCTGGAGTGCCAGACTTACAAGAGCTATGGGGCATCCTGGATCCGCCAGGACAAGCATGGGACCCTTCACTTCATTGTCTTCATCAGCTCCCTGTCCCGGGCCAACTTTGGGGAGAATCAGGGAGCAGCACATCGCTTTGAGGCAAGCAAACACAACACACTCTATCGGTTGGCAGTGAAATCTTTCTCACCAGAGGATGAGGGGACCTATTTCTGCGTGATGAGTTTGAACCAAATCCTGCACTTCAGCCCTGGCCAGCGTGCCTTCCTGCCAGGTCAGCAACACCTTCACCCAGCCTCACTCAGCCCTGCCAAAATGCCCAGCACTTCCTGCCCGTGCCCTTTTGAACCAGCCATCCCTCCCACCAACCCCATTTCCCTGCTTGCTTGCCCAAGGCATCCTGTGAACAACCCCTGGTCCTCCTGCCAGAGCCTCCCTGCTTCCCACCTCTCCTCCTGCCACTGCTCCTGCCCAAAGCAAAATGGTTGGGCAGACCCAGCATCATCTCCCCATCCCCACTTCCCCACCCCACCCACGGCTCTGAAGGGAGAAGATTAAAGCAAAGTCTACCACCACCCCCTCCTCCCTCAGCACATGCAGGTCCCTAAAGTACCACCAAGCTCGGGGGCTCAGGCTTTGTGAGGATGGTGTCAGAAAGTGAGAAACAAGCAGGCTGCAGATCCCTCTTGGCTCTTGGGAGATCTTCTTTAGGGAGTCCCCCTCCAAAATGGGCTCTATGAGCTAAACTCGGGAGCACCTGTGCCCTGGCAGGGGTAAGAGAGCAGAAGGGCAGGAGAGATCTGTTTTATTGTGTTCCCTGCATGCTCAGTTCTTCCATTTCACTTGTAGTCACCGCCACAGTGGCACCCACCACATGTGGACCCACCTCCAAGCGTGGCACCACTGAGGAGCCCAACCTCAAGACTCCAGATCCAGGTAACCTGAATGGAGGCAGGGAGAGGGGAAGGGCTGCACTCTGCCCCATTGATGCCAACGGGGATCCTGCAGG